AGCATTGATGGCTAGGAGGATCAGGGGGTGATCCCTGACCCAACCTCCCTCTTTCAGGCCAGGAAGAGGACCCGCATCCATGTGTCAGGGTCCCACATGTTTTCAGGGGAGACCCACGGAGCCAAGTTAGTGGCTCCATCCCAAAAGTGTTCGATATCTTTTGGTTTCACTTTCAACCCTCTGGTTTTAAGGAGAACCTTGAGTGCTGCCATGTGTGGTTCCCTGCATTGTGGTGGTAAATTGCCCATTGTGGAAGGGTCTCACGAAGGGGAATCCGCCACAAAAGTAGAAGATGAGGGTGACTACCAAGAGGGCACAAAGGAAGCAAAGAAGCACTGTGAGCCACTTAGATGTAAACTGCCCCGACATGTAAAGGTGTATCGGATCCAAATGTCTTGTGCTCAGTGAGGGACTTCTGGAGGCCGTGACACCTCCAGCTGTATGCTCACACGGTGTCTCCGGCACAGGCAACAGGGTGACCCGAAGCCTGGGCTCTGAGTTCAGGGTGGATCAGCCCTTATGTGAACTCACCAGGATGAGCCGAGAGGGGGAGGTGCTGACGTGGGCTTCGGGACCAGGTGGCGGAGCGTGCCTCCCTGATCTAACAAACTAGTCCAACAATAAAGATGACAGGGTGAAGGGGACAGAGGAGGGGGCTACTCGCTTACCCTCGAGCAGCCGAAGAAACAGACAAATCCAGGGGCCTACTTACCGAACGGAGGTTCTGGGTGTCACCAACACCATGGGCAGAGGTCCCTGTTCAGGCGCCAGGTGTTGCGGGTTCTCCTCGGGCCAGCTGTGAAGACCCTGACCTGGATCAGGTCCCCTGCCGATTGGGGGGGCAGGAGGTACGGAGTCAACACACAGACCCCGGGCGTCAGGTAGAAGCAAGCACTAGGCAAGGTGCTGCAGACTCATTTAATGCAGGAGGGGGCAGGCCTTATATTTCCCTTTTCTCCGCCCCCAAGTCCCTTTAGTCAGCGTATCGTTTTCTGATTGGTCCGCGCCACGCAGTTTGTCAGCAGTCACTGGGCTCGCGAGCAGGGTACGGAGGTGTGGGCTTCTTTTGGCGGGCTATTTTCGGACCAAGAAGTGAAGTGAATTCTCACTGAATCCCAGGGCTCTGGGTCTGCGCCATCTTTGGAGGCCTCCTGCTACCATGATATACGAAGGATGAGACAAAAATATTATACTCGTAATCTTAAATTTTCTAAGGTCATAGTCAACTAGTTTAAGGAACAAAATATATATCTAGACAAGGTTTATCTGAGAATATTTGGTTTTTTTCTCCAAGCTTTATCTACGTAGCACATGGTAATTGAAAGTACCAGACTGGTGGAACTGACCTTATTTGATGTTTAAGAGCCATACTTTGAGGCCTATACTGATGTGGTCAGAGGGACTTAAAAGACAGTTTTTGCCCTTTGCCCTCCAAGGTCGACTAAGTTCCAGGGGACTATGGAACATCTCTCAAAATGTCCTGTAACTGTGGTGAGTAACCTGTCCTCTTCTTCAGGGAGGCCATGGAGACCCCACCAGATGGATTTGAACCAGTGTCCAGTATACAAGAGGAGGTTCAACTCAGAGGAAACAGTTCCTCCATGCTTCCAAGTGAAGCCAGCTATGGATGAGTAGGACCTTTGACTTATCTTCACATAGATGGGAAAAAGTTATTTAGACAATTATTTTTCATTGATGTTTTTATTCCTAATCAGAAAGTGCTGCTCAGATTAAGACTTCAAATCTTGGTCTCCAATACTGTAGTGCCCACCTGTAGCTAAGGGAGACAACCAGCTATTGTTCTAAAATGATGGATAAATTTGTTTTCTCCCCCTATCTAGAAGCCTTGAGAGGGAACTGACACTGATTCTAACCACTCCAACAGCTATCAAAATACCTGAAAGCAAATCCTGAATCCATCACTCTCGAGTCCAGCCTTGGCAGACAAAAGAAAAATGAGGAGGAGCCCAATAGAGAGATGCTTTTGGAAGCTCTCATCAAAAAATCCGAATGGACTCTGATATGAACATTTGAAATTTGCCCTGTTCTGACTTTTTTCTTCTGGTTCTCTATCTAGAACTTGTAATGCTAACTACTCTTGACTTTATTTCTCCTTCACATCTCCTAGTCACCAGTCAAGGACTTTTTCTCCCTACAGAAAAGAGTTATGCAATTTGGGAATCTTTTAGATAGACCCACTAAAGGGGTACCCCAGTTGCCTCACCCTGGGTCCCTGTTCAGCATGGAAGAAGACAGAGTGGTCTGCGTCCCGATTCCCTATCAGAAATTTGGATAACTTCTTCAGAGGATGATATGATAAGAATAGGATGTAGGAATTGGCTAGGCAGTTAGGGTAAAAAAGACCACAAAGAAAAGTAGTCAGTTTCTTGGCTAAAAGTCAAAATGTCCTTGGGCCTCTTAGCAACATACTCTGTTTCAAAATCCAAAAATGGCAAACGTATTTGGGAGCTCTTATGTAATCTGTAATCCCTAAAAGATTTTAGGGTTATCTCTTCAGAGGGGTAATGTTAGAGTAGCAAAAAATCCCGTTTAAAAAGAAAAAGAGGGCCAGGCGTGGTGGCACATGACTTTAATCCCAGCAGAGGCAGGCAGATCTCTGTGAGTTCAAGGCCAGCCTGGTGTACATAATGAGTTCCAGGACAGCTGGGGCTACAGGGAGACCCTGTCTCAAAAAGACCAAAAAACCACAACAAACAAACAACTCCCCCCCCCAAAAAAAAACAAAAAAGGAAAGAAAGAATACATGAAGTTTTCAGAAAAAAATTGATGGGGACATATGGGAGGGGAGAGAGTGGTCGTGGATTTGATCAAAACACCTTATATACATGTATGAAATTCTCAACGTTTTTTTTAAAGTTAAAAAATAAAAACCCAAAACAGATGTACTCTCACCTCATCCCAGTTGACTTCCCCAGGTTTCCTATTGCTTCACCTTGGCAGTGAATACCCGAGTTAAAATGCTAAGAACACCTAATTTCCTCCATCCTTCTAACCCTATCCCCCCCCCTTTTTTTTTTCCACAAAGCGTTTATTCCCTTCAAAGTTATCTTAAAATTTAATTATATATTTTAAATTGTCTCCCTCATGAACCCCATGAAGCCAGAACACTTTTCTGTTTCTCTCACCAGTTTTCCCCATGCTTAGAACATGGGCACATGTAGTAGAATACAAATTCCATTTAGAAAATATCCCTTTGTGTGAGTGTGAATAATTCTATAGAGTAAACTCTGTGGGGCAGCAGCATCACTTGTTACCAGTGCTGCTGCATCTCTGTCACGCTGACACATTCACTTCTCATGGACCTAACCTTAATTTATTCTTAATTGTGTCTATCCCACAGTCCTACTAGAGTGTAAGTTTTAAAATAGAAGGGCTTTATTTCTTTTTTCTTACCTTTCCCTACCATGTAAAAATTTTTTCCATCTAATATATTCTATAAAATATTAATACTTATTGCTCAAGTGTTTGATGCTATTTCCCAGTCTCTGTAACAAGCATGTATATGGAATCAGTGCATGTTGTCATGACTAGGATGAAAAACAGGGTAAGGGAGCTGGCACACATCATGGTGGAGCTTTCTTTGTGTGCCTTGTAAATCAGGGAATTTCATATTTTGTTTGGCTGATGGTTGGGAGCTAAGGTGTAATTTAAAAAAAATAAATTCTAGGTAGGAGGTATACAAAGACTCAGCTCAGTCATGTTTTCTGCATATATTACAAATAGCATGCGTTCCATCCTTTGCATTAGAGATGACTGTTACATGAAAGATATTAGTTCATTCCTGAATTCATTCATGTAGTTACACATGATAAACTTGAACCCCCACATCTTAGTGACTTAATAATTTCTTACTTGTATCAGGTCCTGATTGGTGGCACAGCTCTACTTCTCTTGCTGATCTAGGCTCCTTTTATTTTGTGGCCCACCAGCCCCAGGACCTCAGAATCCTTCCTAGGACCCTGTGTATTGAACCTTTGAAGGGGTAAGGGAGAGGCATGAGAGAGATTTGGCTGGGCCAGGCATAGAAATGATGCACAGAACTTGGTCACACAGCCATACCCTTCTAGTGGGGAGGCTGCAAAATCTTTTTTGTTTTAAGACAGGGTCTCACTATGTAAACCAGTCTGGCCTCAAACTCTCAGGGATCTGTCTGCTTCTACCAAGTGCTGGGATTATAGGCATGCACCCCACATCCTGCCAGAAATATGATCCTGATGTGTGTTAGGAAGAAGATAAACCAGAGTTTGAGGGAAACCTAGCAGTCTCTGCAATAATTTTTTAATTTATTCAACACATTTATTTAGCCCATCTGGTAGTATTTAGAAAGTATGAGAATGATTTTTTCCCACTTCATCGTGTTTTGTGAGAGGCATTGTGACATGGAAGAGTCTGAGTCAAGTAGATCTGAGTTCCAGAGTTGGCTCTGCATATACCATAGGATCTTGGATAAGCTACTGAGCATCTCTGAGTTTCAGCTTCTTTAGCTCTGAAATGGGAATAATGCTTACTTAAGCAGAATAGTATCTTGTGTGTGTTTCAGAGGATTAATGTATACCAAACACCATACACATATGTGAAGCATGTCATTGACCATGTCCTCATGGGGGGGAGTATGTTATTGCTGCCTTTCATTACCACTGCTGCCTCCATTGCCATTTCTACTGTCTCTGCTGTTACTGTGTACAGTATGCCATTTACAATTTGAGTATGGATTGTGGTGTGGAACTACCTTTGTTGAAACATGAGTGTTCCTTGAATAAAGATAATTGCCCCCCCACCTTCCTAATGTAGGGGGACAAAGCATACTGTTGATCTGTAGGTCATATCATAAAGCAGGTTTATTCAGTCATGTATCTCTATGCTATTCAACATGAGGCTTATGTGTGGAACTTGCTTCATAGTGGTTTTTTGGGTTGAGTTCAGCGGTAAAGGTTTAAATCGAACCCCCTATTGATTCTGTGTGTTTTGTATTTCTTTAGATAATTTCTGCTGCTGAAACATTGACACTGCATCCATCTAGTAAAATTGCCAAAGAAAACCTAGATGTATTTTGTGAAGCTTGGGAATCTCAAATTAGTGACATGTCAACACTGCTGAGAGAAATCAATGATGTGTTTGAAGGAAGACGAGGTGAGAAACTCCACACATTGAATATATGATTTCAGATTCTATTTATACATTATTTTTATGCAACTGTGCTAGTTTTTTTTTTTTTAATGTTAAGCCTCAGGTGCAAAGTGGATTATTTTGTTATAGCCCAGCTGGGTTATTATTATAATAAAATGTCTTCCACAAAATTGATAAAAATATTGTTTTGTCCTTTATTTTAGAATTTAATCAGTAGGATTTGTTATACTACAGTATAGTTTTTGTCTCTGAATTGGCATTGTAGTTTTCCTATTGAAATCAAGTCAGTTTTTTTTCTTTTATTTTTTTGTACAAAAGCTCTTGTATAATATAGAAATTCTCTGACTTGATTCTATTGACTTCATAATAAAATGAATATAGTTTTGAATTGCCTTCCTTTCACTTAAATAGACTTTTTTCTTGATGGTTATATAAAGTTGAATCTTTCCTGTGGTAGGTGAGTTCACTGGTACTTGTACAATATGTAAAATAGCACCATCCAGTGTATAGGAAGGTACCACTGTTGTTCTTCATTTGAATAGCAACTGGAGTTTTTTATCTGTTTCCCATTGTATTATGTCTTATTATTTATGTTTATGTGCACATATATATATAATTTTTCCCCCTTTGAATGGCTTCTATTAGTGTTAACTCATGCTTTCTTAAAAATAAAATGGGGGCTGCAGAGATGGCTCAGTTGTTAAGGAGCACTGGCTGCTCTTGCAGAGAACCTGGGTTCTGTTCCCATCACCCATGTGTCAGCTAAGAAGCTGTAACTCTAGTTCCAGGAAATCTGACACCCTCTTCTAACCTCCACAGGCATTGCATGACATGGGTGTACTTACATACATGCAGGCAATACACTCGTACACATAAAAGAATAAATAAATGTCATTTTATTTAATATTTTAAAGTTACATCAAATTAAGTATTTTTCCTGATGTGACTATTTTAAACATTTTATATCCAAAAAGCACTTTTACTTAAGATAAATGGGCTAGGCCTTTTGGAAAGTAAATGTGAACATTTCAGGGCCACAGGTACAATGGAGGATCACAAGGTTAGGTAACACATGATTACTTCCTAAGCTAGCTGTATTTATGTATTTATGCCCTCTTCATTGTGTATCAAAAGATTGGAGTTTGAAAGCTATGAATTCTGAGTTTGAGGACCAGTAGATCATTTCCCATCAGTCTTCTTGCAATGAACTCAGGCACTTGTTCTCTGAGAGCCTGGAGATAAAGCATGCTGTCCTGGTTTGTTTCTTCATTGCTGTGACAAAATACTCTGACCAATACCAACTTGGGGAGGAAAGGGTTTATTCAAAGCTTACATCTCCCAGGTCACAGTTCATCAGGGAGCCCAAGGTAGGAACTCAGGGCAGGAACCTGGAAGCAGGAGCTGGAGCACAGGCCATGGAGGAATGCCACTTACTGGCTTGCTCCCCTGGCCCCTGCTCAGCTTGCTCTCTTATCTAACACAGGCCCACCTGCCCAGGGTGGCACCATGCACAGTGGGCTGGGCCGCCCTCCCATATCACTCAACAATCAAGAAAATGCCCCACAGACATGGCCACAGGCCAGTCCAATGGAGACAGTTCCCCATTTGCGGCTCCCTCAACACAGGTGTGTCAAGTTGACACTAAAGCTATCCAGCACACATGCTAAGAGCCTCTTCCTCAGGAAGCCTTTTTAACCCTCACAGTTCCAAGTCAGAAAACCACTCATCAAATCCCCTTACAATGCTGATGTTACAAAAATTGTTAAATGATAAATTATTTCTAAGCGCAACTGGCTGGTCTTTAACAATTCATCTTACAGATCAGCCCTGCCTGGTAGGAATAGAATGGAAGTTGCATATGCAATTAGAAAGCTAGTAGGCGAAAGAAAAAATTTAAAGGTGAAATTTATTGTAAGTTTTTATTTAACATACTATTCTCTAAATATTACTGTTTCAGGGGCTGGGTATGTAGCTCAGTTGGTAGAGTGTTTGCCTGGCATGCACAAAGCCCTGGGTTCAGTCCCTGAGCACTGGATAAACTGGGCATGGTGGTGCATAACTGTAATTCCAGTGCTCAGAATATGGAGGCTGGAAGATCAGAAGTTCAAGGTCATCCTCAGCTTCATAGTTGGAGGCCCACTGAGCTACATGAGACCTTGCCATACAAAAATAAAATGATAATTTCAGTCTAAAATCAGTATTTTTAAGATTGGTAATAAGAGGTTTTACATCCTTCAAAATTTTCTCTGCATTTTATGCTTTTGGCATATCTCAGTTCCTTTGAGGTATGTATCGAGTGTTCAGTGAATTCCGTATTTGTAATATAGTTCTAGACAAAATGTTAAGTATTTGTATAAGCTTTTCTGAGACCTGACAGGCTCCCACTCTTCAAGTCACAGTCATCCTGTAAGAAAAGGTACGATCCAGTACTCTTGTGTTTTTCTTCTGTTAGATTGAACTATATAAAAATCAATGCTTTGGTGTTTCAAATGGTTGACTATGGGAAATTTCATGTGGTTCTTTCTTACAAACTATAGCTGAACACAACTGATTTTCCTTAAAGAAGCATTTGTCTATCAAGAGCCAATTGCTGAGCTGGCAAGATGAGTCAGCGAGGGAATATGATTGTTCCCAATCCTGATTACCTGGTCAAAGGAGGGAACTGATTTCTGCAAGTTGTCCTCTGACCTCCACACATGAATGCTCACTCACACATGACTAAATGTTAGGAGGAGGAGGAGGAGAAGCAGTTACTGGTCTGGGATGTAGCTTAGCGATAGAGTACTCGCCTGTCTGTGCAAGGCCCTGGAGTTCAATCCCTAGTATAGTACTACAAGGTTACTTTTCAAATATTTATAAATTTTTTTATTATATTCTTATTTTATATGTATGAGTGTTTTGCCTGAATGTATGTACATGCACCATGTATGTGCAGTGCCTTTAGAAGCCAGAAGAGGGTGTCAGAGCCCCTGGAACTGGAGTTACAGATGGTTGTTAGCTACCATGTGGATTCTGGGAACTGAACGTGGGTCCTCTGCAAGAGCAGCCAGTGTTCTTAACCACCGAGTCATCTCTCCAGTCCCTTAATTTTTTAAAAAAATTTATACTCATCCTTTTTAGCCAGGCATGGTGGTGCACACCTATAGTCCCAGCACTTGGGAGGCAGAGGCAAGCAGATCTCTGTGAGTTCAAGGCCAGCCTGGTCTACATAGTTCCAGGACAGCTGGGGCTACAGGGAGACCCTGCTTCAGAAAGACAAAAAAAGCAATTTAGTCTACTCATAAAAATTGCTTCTAAGAAAATTACCATTGTTTTGGCATGAAATATTATTGGTGAACATATTTGAGGGATAGTATCAGAGATGAATGCTGCTTTCTAATCTTGATTCCTTCTTCTATTTTTTTTTTATTTTTTCACTAGTCTTAAATTCTTACCTAAGATATCACAGACTAGCTTTAAACAACAACAAAAGAGTCTTTTATCCTTTGTAACCTGGTCTGCAAGCTAGAAAGATAACAGCTAGGGCAGGGGTGACTTGGGCTTGCAGAGCTTCTTTTGTTTGTTTGTTTTTTTTTTTTCCTGTTATTAAACTTCATGCCATGTGTCACTTCATAGCTCCCAAACCTCTTATTTGCTTTATTTCATCTTCTTACTGTTGCCACAAAAGCACAACTCTCACTTCAAAGGGGATAAGAGGTAGTTTATTCTGAAGCCAAATATGAGTGACCATGACCCAGGAACAGAGCCAGGTTACACCCAAATTCCATGTTCCAATGTGGTAATAGTTTCATGAAGATTTTATAGTAGCAGAACAAAAAAGTCATAAATCAAGACACTTTTCAAATACATGGTGGAAACAAGTAGGCAGTTGCCTCAGAAGAGAAATCTCAGCCTCAGAGGCTTTTGGTGACACTGAGCCTTTTGATTGGTAGAAACTGGTGGTCTGCTAAGTTAATACATTCTGTTAGCCACAGAATGTTAAGTCAGAAGCAGAGGTAGGCAAGGCTTGGCTATTTAGGGGGCCAAAGATGACCTAAGATAAATGGCAATTAGGCTCTGCACCTGCAACATTTTGAACTCTCTACAGTCACTCAAATTCCAATCAATTGATCAGGCTTTGTAGAATGTTCAGTTTTGAGATGCAATTTTCTGGGAACTTTGGTTCTCACTGTCTTGTCCACTGGGGTTGTCTTCTTCCCTGTGTGAGCATCCATCGTGAGGTTACTTGGAGATGATGTGGGCTGGTACTTAGAAATGGAAGATGCACTGATGCTGGTCCTGAGGAAAGAGTCTGGTTTCAAACCACAGGCTGCTGTAAAAGGAACACTCTGGATGAAGCTGACTGCAAGTGGAAGTCAGTGCCACTGAGACATTTTGCTTTTCTCTTCTTCCTTTGGGAGAGTGTGGGCTTAGAGAAGCAGGTGTTCAGTCTGCCTGTTTGCAGCCAAATTACAATATCGTTTTTGAATCACGTGTAATTGATGGAGTAAGTTATCACAATAAATGTAACATTCTTGTTTGCTGTCTTAAAAGTTCAATGTGAATAATAAAAATCTATGAATAGAAAAAGGTTTTAAGCTATATATGTTATTTGTAGGAGAGAAGTACAGCTACCTTTCACTTCCAAAGCCACCGGTAAGTAGAATAATTCTGTATTTGCAGAATGCTTTTATGTTTAAGCTCATTTTTGGGGGAGGGCGTGTTGAGATAGGGTCTCTCTGTAGCCTGCTGGCCTGGAATTCTTGATGTAGACCAGGCTGGCCTCGATCTTATAGAGATCTGCTTGTCTCTGTCTCTGAGTACTAGGATTAAAGGTGTAAATTAAGCTCTTTTTGCCTAATACTCCTACATAACAGCAAAAGGTTAGGATGGGTGTTCAATGTCTACTGTTCAGAGTTGTTACTCTGGGTAGCTGTCTACATGTGGCCTATACTCTAAATATTTGTGTTTGGCTTTGGGGGTTGAGAGAATATCGGAATTTGTGATTAATAAGCCACTATCTGAGGCCGGAAATAGTTTTCTTCTCCGTATCTTTGGTTTAATTTGCAAAGTAATGATGGAATTGTTTTCTGTATGTTAAGAACATTCAAATGATTTCTACATAGGTGAAAACATGTTATGGGAAAGAAAGAGAGAGTAATATTAGCCGGGCATTGGTTCTCAGATCCCTTTTAGGAATGGGAAATCTCTATCTTTTGGCTAATAGCAGTTTAACATCATGTTAGCCAGGTAACATTTAGGTGACTTGAGCAATTGATTTGTAGATGTCATTCTATGGCATTTTATCATTGTGATATAATATAGGACATATAGAAAACAAACACAAACAGTGGAAAGATACCATTATTAGGAAAGGCTATTCTTCTAAAATACCATGTACCCTATAACCTTAACTTTAGAAGTAGAGGAAACAAACAAAACTAGACTGTGTAGAAAGTAACTTCTGAGAAAGAAGAAATCATGGTGGCAAATGAGAAGATCAAAGACTCATAGACTGTACTCAGCTTGAAATTATACCCATTTTCCCAATCAGAAAGAAATTCATGCCCAATATTTATCATAAATCAAAACAGACAAAAAGGCCAGGTGTGATGGTGCTCACTTTTAATCCTAGCCCTTGGGAGGCAGAGGCAAGTGGATCTCTGAAATCAAGGCCAGACTGGTCTGTGTAGTGAGTTCTAAGCCAGCTGTCTACAGGGAGACCCTGTCTCCAAAAAAAAAAAAAAAAAAAAAAAAAGACACAAAACCAGACAAAACCTGTATTTGGTTATGTAGTGCTACTTGATTTTGATGTAGTGCTACTTGATTTTGATTAGCTCCTGATGGTGAGGCATTATGCTCGGTGCTGGTGTAGTCATGAGGAAAAAGGTGCTGAATGACTGAACAGTTAAGGATTTGAAAACATACTTCAGAATTGTCTGACTGCCAGGTGTGGTGGCACATGCCTTTAGTCCCAGCACTTGGGAGGCAGAGGAGGTGGATCTCTGTGAAATTGAGGCCAGCCTGATCTATGTAGTGAGTTCTAGGCCAGCTGTGGCTAGAGGGAGACCCTGTCTCAAACTAAACAAAACAAAAACCGAAAAAAAAATTGCCTGACCAATTTTGTATCATATTTTATTCCCAGTCTGTCGCAAAGATTATCTTAAGTCTTCAAAATCTGGTGTGTATTTTACACATGTAATACATCCTAATTCAGACCACTTACATTTCATGTGCTCAGTAGCCAGTTGTTGCCAATAGCTACTATATTAGCTAGTACAGGTTTAAACTCACAGGAAAAGAATGAATAGGGAAGAGAATGTATTAATACTAACAGTGGTAGGTAACATTCGGTGTCAGAAGAGAGACCTGGCAATGGCAACATAGAAAATAAAACTAGGAGGCTGGAAGATGGCTCAGAGGTTAGGAAAGTGCATATTGCTCCTGCAGAGGACCTGAGTGCAGTTTCTAGCACCCATGTCAGGCAGCTCACAACCACCTGTGGCTCCAGTTCCAGGAGTTCCAACACTGCTGACCTCTGCTCCATGAGCACCAGCACTCATGTGCACATACCCATACACAGACAACATGAAAATATGCATAATTTTTTAAAAAAATCTTAAAACAAACAAACAAACCAACAACCTTGTTTGAAGATACAGAAATGACAGTGGGGCCACACACACCATGAATCCCAGCACTCGGGAGGCAGATGCAGGCTGATCTCTGTGAGTTCAAGGCCAGCCTGGTCTACATAGTGAGTTCCAGGACAGCTCTGGCTGCAGGGAGACCCTGTCTCAAAAAGACCAAAAATAAATAAATAAATAGAATCCTGTTTTAAGCCAACTTGACTCCAAGAGATGTTGTAATATTTAATTTTACAAATAAGGATAAGTTGATTGTTTGGGGTTGTGTGTGTGTGTGTGTGCGTGCGCATGCGTGCGTGCGTGCGTGTGTGCGTGCGTGCGTGTGTGTGTGTGTGTGTGTGTGTGTGTGTATGTATGTATGTACATCCCCAGCTGGCCTGCAACTTGCTAGATAGACCAGGCTGGTCTAGATCCCCCTGTCTTTGTCTCTAGAGTGCTGGGATTAAAAACATGTACTACCACACCTGGTTAGGTTGGTTGATTTTTTTTTTTTTTAAGTGCTATAACATGGGGCTACTATGATACAGTTTTGGATGAAAGACATCACACAGCTAAGTGAAAACGTATGCCTTCAATCCCAGCACTTGCAAAGCTGAAGCAGGAGGATCATGAGTTTGAGGCCAGCCTGGGCTGGAAGAGAGACTCTTAAAACAAACCAGGGGCTGGAGAGATGGCTCAGCAGTTAAGAACACTGGTTGTTCTTGCAGAAGACCTGGGTTCTAATCCCACCACCCACATGGCAGCTAACAGCTGTCCATAACTCCAGTTCCAGGGGATCTGACAGCCTCTTCTATTCTCCGTGGATATTGCATGAGGATATCGCACGACACGAGTGCACTTACCTACATGCGGGCAATACACACATACACATAATATAAAAATAATAAAAAAATGTTAAAACACCCCCCCGCAAAAAAAAAAAAAACCAGAGAAGAGAGAGGGTCAAGTTGTAGCTCTCTGGGAAAGCACTTGCTAGCCCTGGTTTCTATCCCCAGAACTTCAAGAAAAGAAAGACATTGCAGACCTTTTTAAATAGGTTGAATGGAAGCTTTTTATTGAACTTAGTAGGTTTTCTAATATTTAGTAACATAAGTTCAGAATATAAAGCATTTCCTTAGTTGAGGATACCATGGCTATATACTATATTTTTAGAAAACTGTAGCTCTCTTTTTTTAGGACGCAAACTTTGAGTCTTGTGCTATTTGTGTTTAGAACCTGAAGTCTTCAGCTTTATATAATAGAAGCCATGCCTTTCCAAATACTGTCCACCAGATGGCAAGCTCAGTCACATTCATTTATATATGTATGTATGTATGTATGTATGTATGTATGTATGTATGTATGTGTGTTTATGTATGTACATGCAAGCATGTGTCATGGTGCATACACAAGGTCCTGAAGGAGTTGGTTCTCTCCCTTCACTACATGGTTCCTGTGATCAAACTCAGGTGGTCAGACCTGGTAGCAAGGCCCTTAGCTGCTGAGTGAGATACCTCCTTGACCCTGTGGTCACAATTTAAGGGTGCTTTGCTTCCTTTTCAGCTCTCCCCTTAGCTTTCATTAAGCAGTTATGTTACTTTGTAAAAATAAACACTGAAAACATAACTAATTTGTCATTCGATGATTTCATCATTGTGAGAACATCTACAAGCCTGTACTTGGCATAACCTAAGGTGGCTGCAGTCTTGCTAGATGACACAATCTTTTTTTAAAGACAGTGTTTCATGTAGCACAGACTGACCTTGAACTCACTGTGCTGCAGAGGATCATCTTGAACTGATCTCCTGCCTCTCCTGAGTACTGAGATTAGAGGCGTGAGCCACCACCATGTCCCATTTATGTGATACTGAGGTCTAACCCAGGGCCTAATGTATGATAGGCAAGCACTCTACCAACTGAGCTACATCCTCAGCCCTAGATGGCATAATCTGACAGGACCACCATTGTAAATTCGGCATTTTGCTGACCAAAATGATATATGGCACATGACTCTCTCTCTCTCTCTTGCTCTCTCATTCTCTCTCTCTCTCTCTCTCTCTCTCTCTCTCTCTCTCTCTCACACACACACACACACACACACACACACACACACATACATGCATGATAAACTTAAACTCTGAAGTTTGGTAGACTAGCTGATCTAAATGCACTTGTTTTTGTGGCACTGAAGACCAAACCCAGGGGCCTTACAACATATTAGGCAAGTGTTCTATCACTGACCTGTATTCACAACTATTAATTTTTTTTTCTTTTAAAGACAAGGTCTCTCTTTAGCTCCTACTGGCCTGGAACTCACTATGCAGACCAGGCTGGCCTCGATCTCAGAGAGATCTGCCTGCCTCTGCCTCCCAAGTGCTGGGACTGAAGGCACGCATTGCATCATCACGCCCAGCTAAATGCATTATTTTGACGTAAAGATATTTTCAACTTGTGATGAGTACTTCCTCATTAAACTTCGAGTTATCTGTATAATTACTTCAAAAGCCTGAGTGCTGGGATTAAAGGCATGTACTACCATGTCTAGCATTTTAAAAAAAATTTATTATTTTTATTTTTTGTCTATGAGTGTATTGCCTGCATGTGTCTAAGTGCGCCCATGTCATGCAATGTCCATGGAGGTCAGAAGACTGCATTGGATACCCTGGAACTGGAGTTACAGACAGTTGTCAGCTGCCATGTGGGTGCTGGGAATTGAACCTGGGCCCTCTGCAAGAGCAGCCACTGTTCTTAACCTCTGAGTCATCTCTCCAGCCCCCATGTCTGACTTTTTAAAAAATTTTTAATGGTTAATTTTAACGTAAAATTTCATAGGAATAATTCAAGTATTATAATAATCTTATTATAACAGAGAATCCAGGGGGCTGCAGAGAATCCAGGAGGTTGTGGGGTGCATTATTATTGGGTTCCAAGAATATTTTAGAAGTTATCTTGAATTCCCTGAAGACCTTATGAAAAGAGAATAGCTAGCAACAGAGAGCAGGACCAGACCCTGACCTGCATCCCCGGATTCCAAACTCTAAGCCGAACTCACTCACTAGTAGAATATTTACAAGTGATTGTTTAAGCTGTTTAAAATAATTAACTAGGCTGGGTGTGGTGGCGCACACCTTTGATCCCAGCACTTGGGAGGCAGAGGCAGGAGGATCTTTGTGAGTTCGAGGCCAGCCTGGTTCCAGAACAAGGAGACCCTGTCTCAAAAAAGACAAAATAATAATAATAATAATAATAATAATAATAATTAACTACATACTGGGTATGTTATAGGCTTTATTCAAAGTTCTTATGTTTTCTTTCTGTTACTGTTGTATTTCTTTACAATTCCATGTAGTGCCTATTAAATTACTGCTCTTTTTATTGCCACAGAATAATGGAAACCTGAAATCATTAAAGCCTGACAAGCCTGATTCAGAGGTATGTTCTTTTATTGTCTAACAGTCTTATGTCTGACTTTTCACACCAATAATGACAAGAGTAGTTATGACTAAAATGTTTATTTGTAGGAGCAAGCCAAGATAGCAAAGCTTGGACTTAAGCTGGGTTTGCTCACCTCTGATGCTGACTGCGAAATTGAGAAGTGGGAGGATCAAGAGAATGAGATCGTCCGGTATGGACGGAAAATGTCCAGGATGGCCTATTCTCTATATTTATTTACTAGGTAATTTGGTTATGCTTGGTCTTTTTTCTTGTTTTTGAGATAGGGTCTCCCTATAGCCCCAGCTGGCCTGGAAATCGATATATAGACCAGGCTGGCCTTGAACTCACAGAGACCCACCTGCTGAGTGCTAGGATTAAAGGCTTGTACCACTATGACTGGCCTCTGGGTAGGTATTTTTGAGTTACAGTCTCACACTGCAGCCCAGAATGGCCTCGAACTTGCACTAATCCTTCTGCCTTAGCCTCACAAATACTGAGATTACAATCATAAGCAACTACACGGCTACATTTTGGCCTTTTAAAATTGATAACCATAATTGATATAAAGAGAAAGTGCCATGGTAAATCATTGTTGGGTTAAAATCAGTAGCAAGCAGATGGTAAAAAGACAAAGTCATTATTAGAAGTTTACCTCAGCAAATGCAAAAAGAAGATGCATCTGTTTAGTCAGCAATTAGATTTAGAATGAATCCTTTTCTAGGTTTGTGCCCTATTTTGAAATAATGTTATGTTTTGCCTATTGTCACCCTGCCTCTGTGTCTCTCCCAGCCAACATTAGCACTTTAGAGAACGTGTCTTTTTATATATTTATATAAGTTATTGAGGAGAGAGAGATCAGCTAATAGAGCTCTGAGGAAGCTTCTGTTGGCAGCCCAGTCTCCAAAAGTCAGCATTCATCACAGAGAGAATTACCCTTGCTTTAACATCACTTTTTCTGTGCTATCTTGTCTGCATTTCAGACTCACGATCAATGCCTTATTGAAGTCAGTGTTGATTTGGTCTTTTGTAAGCTATTCAAATAGTACAGTAATTCCACTTAACTAGAATCAGTTACCTGTCTAATAATATGTTCTAGAAGTTTTTAAAAGTAGACTTCCTCATTCACTGTCTGAAATGGTTTTCATTTGGGGGACATGAAGGATGCCAGTCTCCAGGTGCCCCTCTGCTGTTCATTTTTGGTTTTCAACAGTTTAATAGAGTAGAATTGGAGCATGTAGTTTACACTCACAGGCCATTATATTTAAAAATGGGCCACAGAGCTAAGTCTTAGTTCATAGTAGGAAAATGTGTTTATAAACACATGAAGATCTCTTGAAGCCATTTTCTTTTCCAAGAGAAAGGGAGAAAACAAAAGGTTATAATATCTAATTTATTTTTGCAAAGTCACCAGAAAGGCTGAGAAGACGAATGTCTCTGCTCATTAAGTGAGGCAGAGGTGAGGGAGGGCAGGTTGGTGAAGATCCTTCATGAGGAAGAAGCAGTCACGAGCTAAATGTTGCCATTTCCATCTTGAAGAAGTCTTCTGCCCTCCCTAGGGATGTGATTCTTCCATGGGGCAAAGGCAGAGGTGGTAGGAGTCAGCAATTTGGCCACTGTGTGGCTTTTTGTTAATCCCTTACTGTATTTTCCACCTTGGAAACCATTCCTCTGTGCCAGTTTCCTTCCATTGTTGTTAAATGCTTTTATGTTTTTAGCAAGATTCTGCTGCAATTGAATCTTCCCAGGATGCGCTCTGATCTTTACTCTCAAACCTTTTAGAATTTCATGGCTCAAGCCTGTCAAACATAAACCAGAACTATGTTTATACAAAATAAATTCCCACAGGCTACTGAATAGCAAACAGAAATAGAATCTCTTTTCATTTTGCCTCATGAATAAATATGAGATCTGATACTAGGTCTCAACCAAAGAGCCTTTCTCTTTTTTTAAATCAGTATGTTCATATTCTTTAAAATTTGGATTCTGTTAACATATAGAATGCTCTAAAATATGTTACATAACCAATTTCCAGGCAGTAACTTTACTTCTTAATAATTCATGTTTTTTTTAGAGGAGAAGGGCCACTGAAAACTTCCCAGGATTTAATTCAGTTCCTAGAGGTATGTTGTATTTTCACTTTATGCTGCTATAGTTATGGGCTAAAAGTAGGTTATAACTGTTTTTTTTGTGTGTGTGTGTATGTGTGTTGTTGCTATATCAGGGATCAAACCCAGAGGCTCATACTTACTAGGAAGGTACTCTAGCACTGAGCTATATTCCCAGCCCTATTTTACTTTTCAGACAAAGCCTTGCTAAATTCCCTAGTCTGGCCTTGAACTTGCCAGCCTCTTATATAACCCTCCCAGGTAGATTGCTGGCATGCACCATCCTATCTGGCTGTAACTGAGTGATTTATTATATTGTGTTTATGTGCTTATGAACACGCCTACCTGCTATAGGGAGTGGTACAGAAGAACTTCAGAAGTCTTGTAGCAACATTTTGTGGAACTTCCTTAGTTATCCCATTAGAAAGACAGTTGAATATTATAGGACAGAGTAGAGTAGGTTTGTTGATTGTCAGTAGATGCATAATAACTTTTATACTTTCCTAAGTAGATGAAATATCTTGTGAGCAGATGCAATCCCGTTTCTTCTAGAGTTCCAGAAAGGCTTTTTGGTCTCTTCATTACTGAGCTGACTTAATGATACTGATTCGTTGCTATAAGAGATAAGACAAACTGAAGACCATTAAAGGGTGCTATGTATGTTAGTCTCCGTCTTGGTGATTTAGGGCATGGCGGGAGAGTCAGATATGCTAGTACTTACCATTTAATGATCCCCCACATGCATCAGTTTCCGATCTTTATCATAGGCAAAGGCAAGTGTGTTGCACAATTCCTTTCCTGTTCTCTTGGCCTTCTATGTTAGCTTGTTTTCAGGGCTATTCTTGCATTTGAAACTTGGAATTCTGAGCATTTTGTTATTATTGCCTACCTTCTTTTGACATTCCCATATACTTCTACCACAACCTCTTCAAGAAAAGGACTTCAGCTGAAGGGGACAATTGTAATGTAGAATTATTGGCTGTGAGCCTACCCTTTAATGGTAGGAATAAGCCAGACATAATGGTGAATGCCTTTAATCCCAGCACTTGGGAGGCATCTATGTGGGATGGACGCCAGCCTGGTCTATGTAGTGAGTTCCAGGCCAGCTAGGGCTACAGGGAGCCCATCTCAAAAAAAAAAAAAAAAAAAAAAAAAAAAATTAGGAATAAATTCTGGATTCATTCTGTTCAGTTTGGCTCATATCCATTCTATGTGGTTCTATGAACATAAAATAGATGCTTCAGTAAGCTGGTCTTTACTGAGCTTGTGATATGCTAGAGATCACAGATAGGAGCTCTGTGGAGAAAACTGAAGAAACAACACTCCTGCTCTCCTACGGCTTATGTTCTAGTAGCAGGAGATAGTAAAAAGTATATAATGCAGATATACTAACATTCAGAGATAGAATCATGGAGGATAAGAAGATAAAGGTATGGATGAGTGTCAGAAAGACTATAAGGTTACATTTGAATAGTAGGAGCATTAAAGAAGCAAAAGAAGCTGGGCGTGGTGGCGCACGCCTGTAGTCCCAAGCATTTGGGAGGCAGAGGCAGGCAGATCTCTTGTGAGTTCAAGGCCAACCTGGTCTACATAAGTGAGTTCCAGTACAGGTAGGGCTACAGGGACACCCTGTCTCAAAAAGACAAAAAAAAAAAGACGCGAAAGAGTTGGATGAGTACATGGAGGTTAGAGTATTTCAGAACAGGTTCAGAGGAGTGAGCGTAGGTAGATGCAGCTGAAAGTCAGGAGAACGTAGCCCGCCACCACAGTAAAGTGGTAAACATGACACTTCTGTGGAACTTTGATTTTGTTTTTTTTCAAACACGCTAAGCCCACTCAGTGTTTAGGAAGCACTGGCATGATCTAATGTTCTAAAAGGTTTCTGGCTTGACTAACAAATGATAGTCACATTTACAGTGATGGGGAACCCTGAGGGTGGACTAGATGCAGAGAATGGAAATCAGACATTTTGTTTGCTTACGGCAAATACAAAGGCCAAGTAAGAAATACAAGACCTGTCAGGGAGGTCAGGAATGGACAGAGACTTGTGCTGTCAACTTACGGTAGTTTTGAAACCATGATATTCTGTCAGCCAGACGTGGACGAGATCTGCAAAGTAGAAAGTGATGATGTGGGATGATGATGAAGCTGGCAGGAAAGGACACTGGTTCTCTTTCAGGGGACTGGGAAGGACACCAACTGCTATTTTACAACAGCAAGGTGTTAAGACTGTTGACTACTGTTTATGTAGCTTACTACCAAGACCTGTTTTTCCTTCATAAATCACTGGTATTTCCCTTGTTTTCTTTCATATCAGTGTTACCAACCACACCTCTCTTCATCCCTTTACTGCTGTGGCATAGCCTTTTATTTATTTAATATTTATTTATTTATTTATTTAGGTCTTTTTGAGACAGGCTCTCCCTATAGCCCCAGCTGGCCTTGAACTCACAGAGATCTCCTGTTCTCTGCTGGGATTAAAAGCGTGCACCACCACATCCAGCCTTTTTTTTTTTTTTTTTTTTTTTGTTTATTTTATTTTTATTATTTACATGTATATGTGTGTCTATGTGAGTGAATGCCACTGTATGCATACCCACAGAGGCCAGAACATGGTGTCAGATCTCCTGGAGCTGGAGTTACAAGTGGTTGTGAGCTGCCTGATGTAGGATCTGGAAACTCAATTCAGGTCCTCTGGACAAGAAGCTAGTACTCTTAACTGCTGAGTCATCTGAGCCATCCAGCCCCTGTGGTTGCATTTTAAAATATTTTATGTGTTTTACATTTTAATGTGATACTCTGAATATTCTTACATGTCCAGTATTATTTTTCACTGTTCTCCATCTTCCTGTTCCCTAAATTAAAATGCAAGGTGAACAGACAAATTCTTAAAATTAAAAATGTAACAATCTGGATTCATCCTCTCAGATAGCTGGTTTGGACGTGATTAGGTGGAAGCAGCAAAATACCAACATTCTGACCTCATTCCCCAAGATTCATGATGCTAATTGAGGATTTTTTTAACAATTTACTTATTCTTTGACAACTTTATACATGTATGTAATGCATTTTGATCACAGTCACTCCCCATGCCTCTCACTTATATCCCTCAAGCCCTCTGGAACTCCCTCTTCCCAACTCACATCCCCACTACTTACATGTATCTTTTTTAAAAAATAACCCACTGAGTTGAATTAGGGTTGCTTGCATGTATATGGGTGTGGGATTATTTGATGGGTCATGTGCAACTTACCAGTGGGTATACCCCTCAAGAATGACTCCCCGTCTATAATTGGAGATCCTGTGAAATGAGCTTGTGATCCTTCCAGAAACCACACAATGTGTATGGCTGTGGACCACAGGTTTTGCGACCCTCCGGAATAACTGGAGTCTCCAGGAGTAGGGGAGTCTCTTCAGGGACCTTGTCTTATGTCTTGGAAAAACTTCTGATTCCGGTTAAACTCTTGTGTTTCCCAGGGGTACAACAAAAAGTATAGAGGTTCTGTGACAGATTTTGAATGTATAGTTTATAATTTTTAAAACTCTGAAATTACTGAGTATATTTTTTTCCAACCATTCAGAAGACATCAGTCTAAAACAGTGTTCTCTCTTTCTACCAGGCTTTTGCCGCAGAAGGATTAAAGCTTACTTCAAGTGTACAAGCATTTTCAAAACAGGTAATACACGCCTACCTGCCTGGTGCTGGCCATGCCCTTCTACTCACTTTGGGCACGTATTAAGCTATAAAGGTATTTAAGGTATAGAACATGGGGTTTTGTTGGGTGTAATAAATTCTTAAATTACATTTCAGCTGAAAGATGATGACAAACTTATGCTTCTCCTGGAAATAAACAAGTTAATTCCTCTTTGCCACCAGCTTCAGACAATAACTAAGACATCTTTACAGAATAAAGTGTTTCTAAAGGTAAAAGAGAGGGTGGGCTATTTGGGTAGATGTATGGAAATTTTGCACACTTGTCTTTATCAGGTTAGCTACAGATCTTTTTCTCTTTTTTTAACTTTTTTAAAAAAAATTATTTTTATTTTATGTGTAGCATGTATTGCCTGCATGTAGGTAAGTGCACCCGTGTTGTGCAATGTCTGCGGAGGACAGAAGAGGCTATCACATCCCCTGGAACTGGAGTTATGGACAGTTGTTAGCTGCCATGTGGTTGCTGGGATTCAAACCCGGATCTTCTGCAAGAACAACCAATATTCTTAACTGCTGAGCCATCTCTCCAGGCCCCTTTAAGATCTTTTTCTTAAAGTGTTAATACCCACAGAAAGCCAATTTATTTTCGTTTTTCATGTCTTGACTGAAAGCCTTTGCCCTTATAACTGACCCCAGGGAGGAGCAGGCCACTGAAAATTAGATTTGGGGATGCAGATTCATTCTGCAGCACTGAGCAGCTACCCCTTAGTCCTTAGGTCTTCACCTAAGGCACAAATGCCTTGAAGTGTAAACTCCTGCCATTTATCTGAGGAATTTTGGCTTATGCCTACAAGGTAGCGTGGCAAAGAATTGCCAAGTGGGGGATTGGCTGTCAGCACGTGTGTGAAGTGTTTAGAGAAGCCTAAGGTACAGCAGTTGCTGCCCCACCCCTTCCTAGGGTTCCATTGAAGCAGGTGTGAGACCTAAGCAGCCAGCCCTGTCCATGTTCTGGGCCTCAAATAAGCTCAGGTACCCTAATCTGTACCTTTCAGGAGCTCTTAGATTTGCAGCATGGAGACATTTAAACATTTTAAAACTATGTAAATGATAGCCTTAAGATGATGTGCATGCATGCTTTCTGTTACTACAGGTTGAAAAGTGTATCACAAAGATCAGATCCATGATGGCTCTCCTTGTCCAGCTCCTCTCACTTTGCTATAAGCTGCTGAAGAAGGTGAGAGAGAGAGAGAGAGAGGGAGAGAGAGAGAGAGAGGGCTTTTCTGTATTAAGCATTTTTTATTAGCTTAAAGGAAAATGCAAGAGAAAATAATTGTGTGCATGCATTATTTTCCAATTTCTTTTTTCAGAGTAAAGCAGAAACTAATTATCTTAACTCTTTCCTCCTACAGATGGAAAGTAACAGATGGGTCTCAGTTAAAAATAAAGATACCTTGGATGGTAAAACCTGAGAAGCTTTCCAGCCAGGTCTCTGGAATATCATGTGGCAAAGCTGACCTTTTAAAGAAATGAATGATCCTTTTTTTCAGAAATTCATCAGTTTTATAAAGAATATACTGAAATCTTGCTTTATTTTCTGATCTTCAGATTGGGAACCTTCCTGACAGCTAATGATTGCCATGGTAGTTACTAGGATTCTAATTGAAGTGCAATTTTAAATGTTTTTAATGTTCCTTAAAAGTTAAACCAAATATCCCACTTGTCTTAATGACAACTGAATCCCAAAGAAGCTATTTTGAATGTACACTCAGCTCTGGCATATTGTACCTTAACTATTTTATTTAAGCTGCTTATCTATAACACTAACTTCAACAGAAAATACAATGGCCTGGTTGAACGCAGGCTTTTTTTCTCACACTTGTGGACTCCTCTTCCTTTGGCTGCCTGGTCACAATCCTCCTGGCTAATGTTTTTTTTTTTTTTTTTTTTTTTTTTCAAAAAAAAAAAAAAAAAAAAAAAAAAAGAGGACGATAAATCTTTCACTGTGATATATCAAAATAA